ATTCTTCCCCAGCTACTCCCAGCTCAGCAAGTGCCTTTCCAATGCTGCCATTTCTACTCTTTGGAAAAGCTACTTATTAAAATTTAATGACAATCACTTACATTTATAAAGCCATTTTCTTTTTTTATTTTTATTTTATTGATTTTGTACAGAAAGGAAGGGAGAGAGATAGAGAGTTAAAAACATCGATGAGAGAGAGTCATCGATCAGCTGCCTCCTGCACACCCCCCACTGGGGATATGCCCGCAACCAAGGTACATGCCCTTGACCGGAATCGAACCCGGGACCCTTCAGTCCCCAAGCCGATGCTCTATCTATTGAGCCAAACCGGTCTCGGCATAAAGCCATTTTCAATTTACAGAGCCTTTTTTCCCATCCATTATCTCTTTTAATCCTTACAACAGCTGTAGGAAGGATGTTTTCCCCCTCTATTTCATAAATGAAGAAAATAGGGCTCTGAAGAGCAGCATCTTGACCTGGGTCACGCTGTTGATCACTGGCAGAGATGGGCCTCACATTCTGGTCTTTCAGTTCCAAGATGTGAGGAGTAGCTCACCTGTTCAGGCATTCTCTTACAGTATAAACAACCCGGATATCCGCCCTGCTCTCTTTTGGGGGGATGCAGGGACTATTTTTTTAAAATATATATTTTTATATTTTTATTGATTTCAGAGAGGAAGGGAGGAGATAGAAACATCACTGATGAGAGAGTATCATGGATTGTCTGTCTCCTGCACGCCCCCTAGTGGGGATCAAGCCTGTGACCCAGGCTTCACAACCACACACACACACCCCCCCCCCCCCCCCCCCCCGCCCCGCTCCCCACTAGAATTGAACTGGGGTGGGGGGACCCTTCAGTCCTACAGGCTGACACTCTATCCATTGAGCCAAACCAGCCAGGGCTGGGACTATTTTTATTGGAAGTGACAAAAATTCAACTCAAACTGGCTTAAACAAAAACTGAATTTATTGTCTCACCTAATAAAACAACACAGAAGCAGGTTTTGGGGCATGGATGGATCTAGATGCTCAAACTATGTCATTAGAACTTTCCCCATTTTTTTTTTGAGAATTTAAAAAAGAGTCTATTTGTGCCAAACTGATGACATGCTGGAAAACAAGAGCTCAAATGCTCCTCTTTCCACTTCTTAACTTCCTTCTGTGTTCATCTTATTCTAAGATAAATGCTCTACATGGGGTATCAAAGGTGGCTCCAGTAGCTAAAGTTTACAATTCCCCAGTTCATTATTCTCAACAGAAAGAGAACATCTCCTTATAAATTGCAATAAGTGACCTGGATATCCCCTGAAACAATCATTGTGTCTGCTGTCGTGGAGTATTCTCACTGTTCAGGCCTGATCATTTGCTTCCCTTTGTGGAAGAGGATGGTGGTAACAATGGGGAGAGTCTCACCAAACCCAGGGACTGAGTAAGGGAGAAAGGAGTTTCTTTAAAGAAAAAGTATTGATGTCAGAAGTGGTGTGGGTGGTGGGCACATCTCTTCAGGGCACCATTGCTCTGCAGAGCTAAAACAGGACAACCAGAGAGGAACTGGGAGCCCATCTTAGCAAGAATTCTCAGTTCTTGCCCTAGCTGGTTTGGCTCAGTGGATAGAGCATCAGCCTGTAGATTGAAGGGTCCTGGGTTCGATTGTGGTCAAGGGCACATGCTTGGGCTGTGGGCTTGATCTTCTTTAGGTGGGGGCATATAGGAGGCAGCTGATCAATGATTCTCTCTCATCATTGATGTTTCTTTCTCCCTCTCTCTTCCTCTCTGAAATCAATAAAAATATATTTTTAAAAAAGAATTCTCAGTTCTTGCCTTGGGAGTAGTCTATGTTTTTTCCCCATGGACTGCCTACCGTGGCTCACTAGGATTGTGAGAAAAAGGTAGTTATTCATGGCAGAGTAAGGAGAAAAGATGGAGCTTCTGGCTCCAGTAACTTGTGTTCTGAACGGTACCCAAACCAGGAGAACTCATGGAAGGGGACTTTGAAGTGCTCTTTGAGGAAGACCACTTGCCTACTTCCTCCTCCCAGAACCTCCTATCTCCCCATGAAGCTGTGAGCTCCAGGAGGACAGGGACCACATCTATTTTACCCACCATCTTCTCCCAAGGACAAGCATGGTATTATGCCTGGCACACAGCAGGTGCTCATCACATGTTTGTTGCCTGGATGAACAGATTCGTGAATCAGGTTAATCAGCCTAATTAGCAGGATTGATCCACCCTTCTGTATAAGTGACCTTTGTTCTCCATCTGTCAGGTAGGGGAAGGTTTGGAAAGAGACACTCCACAACCCCTCCCAGCTTATGATAACGGTATCTTAGGGCTATTGGGAGGCAGACAGGATGCCCTTTGCAAAGAACCAATAGAAGGTAAGCAAACTTACTGAGCACTCAGGTGACATGACATCACATGGGTCTGAGGTCTTCAAATTGTGAGAGTTCATAGACTCATAATATTTTTTATAAGTACCTCGCGCTAATGGATTCGGCCCTTGGAGCTCCAGACTCATAATATTTTTTTATAGTAAAAAGTTAACACTGCCAAAAACGGTTTGGCTCAGTGGATAGAGCGTTTGCCTGCGGATGGAAAGGTCCCAGGTTCGATTCTGGTCAAGGACATGTACCTTGTTTGCAGGCACATCCCCAGTAGGGGGTGTGTAAGAGTCAGCTGATCGATGATTCTTTCATCGATGTTTCTAACTCTCTATCCCTCTCTCTTCCTCTCTGTAAAAAAATCAATAAAATATATTTTAAAAAATTAACACTGCCTATTTTTATTTTGCCAAGTAAAGACATTAAAAAGAAATTACCATTAATTATTATCACCATTTCTTTTTTAAAAAGAGATTTTTTACATAAGATAGCAGGAAGTACATAATCTCAGGAAGATAATAACTAGTCCCTTTCTCCCCTAAGGGGGGGTGGGGGAGAAAGACAATTGGCAACCTTACCTATCTCCCCACCACCACCCACCCCTGGACAGAGGTAAACTTAATCAGGCTGACCCCTGTGTGAGGTCCAGTATTTGGAACCCACGAGTAAAGATTATTTTTCAAAGCCCACTTCTAATCTTCGCTTTTTAAAAATCAAAGCTTAATCCGTTCACTTTACAGATGGGGAAACAGAGGTTCAGAGAGCGCAAGTCCAAGGTCAAAGAGGTAGTAAAGAGTCAGAGTTTGAATTTGTCTGAGTGCCAGACCGGGTCGCCTTGGCAGATCCTGAGCCAAAGCTTTCCTCCCGGTACAGGGAAAGCAGTGACCCACCCGGCCTTCTTGGAGTGCCCCCAGGGTGAGCTCGGCCTCACTTGGATGCTTTGTTCTTAATGATGTACCCACTTCATGCCAGGCACTGGGGACCACAGTGTAAGGAGGGTCACAAACATGTCCCCACTCTCCTCTCCTGTCCCCTCACCGTGGGCCCTGTTCCTTGCCTGGCGGCCAGTGAATCCCCCCGCAGGCACGGGCCGCTCACAGCCCGGGGGTTCCCTCTCCCGGAGCTGTTGGCAGTCTCCTAGGCGACTCTGGGAGCCTTCCACGCCTACCGGACCCACAGGACTGGACGCGCAGCGTGCACCCTGAGGCGCTGTGATAGGCTGTGAGGAAGGCAATTTGGAAGAGAGATCTGTTCCAACCCTATCCCATAACACCGCCTCCGCCCCTCCCCGCTTCCCATGGACTCTGCGGGGACCCATAGCCCCACCGCGTAGGCTGGGAGAAAGGGGTTCCCCAAGCCAGAGGGCCCTACCGTGCAGGGGACTCATTGCTCCGGCTGGGCGCGCCGCCCGGACCCGGGCCCGGCCCGCCCCGTTCCGCACGCCCGCGGCGGGAGCGCGCCTCCGCGCTGCGCGCCTGGGCCCCGGAGCGCGCGCCCTGGCCCCGGAGCGCGCCCGGCAGAGCCGAGCAAGATGGAGGCCGCGCCGCGGCCGCCGCCTGGGCTGAGGCCGCCGCTGCCCGGAGCGCCGAGCCGCGGCGCCTAGGTCGTCGCGCCAGTGCCGGACCCGCTGCCCCGGACCGGGCCCAGGTGGGTGTCCCCGCACCCCGTCCCCGCGGCCGCAGCCTCCGTGTGTGTGCGCCCGGCCTGGGCGCGGGGCAGCCCCCCCATCCCCGGCCCTCCCCGGCCCGGCTGCTCGCCGGCGCCCAGGGGGCATCTCCCGCCCGCCGCCCGCCCCTCCCAGCCCAGACTGCCTGCCCACCCTCGTCCCCTGGGCCTGGCAAACCCCTCTCTGCCCAGCCCCGGCGTGTCAGTCCTAGGCTCCCTCCCGGCTTCTGAGGAACCCCCCACCCACCCCGGGTCCAGACCCTGCAGCAGTCCCAGCCTCGGGCTCCTCTGTAGCCTCACCCTGATCCCTCTCCTTCTCTTTCTTAGACCCTCACACCAGCCCCCCTCCCTGTCTCAGCCCCCCATCACCTTCCCAATCCCCCCAGGGAAGCCCCTAAGATCCCCTTCCTACCCCATCACAGAAGCCCACACTCCCCTCTCCACAGCCCTTTCCTGGAGACCCGATACCAGACCTCCTCTCCTCAATACCAGCCCCCCATTCCCTCCCGAGCCCCCTCTCCATAGCCCCCCCCGACCCTGCTAATCCCCCAATACCGGCCCCCAGCCCTCAGCCTCCATTCCCTCTCCGCATGGTCCCTCTCCACTCCCCTAATACCGCCCCCAAGCTCCTTCCCCCGCTCCCCGGACCACTTCCTAACCCCCCATCCCAGCTCCCCTATCACCACCACGGCCCCCTCCCTCCAGCCCCCCAACTTCCACACGGCCCCTTCCTAAGTCACCCATTGGAGATCTCTGCCCACAGACAGCGAGCACCCAGCCCTCTCCTGACCCCCTGCTAGCTCCCCCGCTCCAGCCCCGGGGCTCCCCGGCCCCGCCCCAGGCCCGGCCCTCAGGGCGGCTTCTCGGTGCGTCCCCAGCTCCCGCCTGGTCGGTCGGACCCGGGCCGGCGGCCCCCGCCCGCCGCCGCCGCCGCCGGCCCCGCCCCCGGGCACCATGCTGCCCTCGCAGGAGGCCTCCAAGCTCTACCACGAGCACTACATGCGGAATTCGCGGGCCATCGGCGTGCTGTGGGCCATCTTCACCATCTGCTTCGCCATCATCAACGTGGTGGTCTTCATCCAGCCCTACTGGGTGGGCGACAGCGTGAGCACCCCCAAACCCGGCTACTTCGGCCTCTTCCACTACTGCGTGGGCAGCGGGCTGACGGGCCGCGAGCTCACCTGCCGCGGCTCCTTCACGGACTTCAGCACCATCCCGTCCGGCGCCTTCAAGGCGGCCGCCTTCTTCGTGCTGCTCTCCATGGTGCTGATCCTCGGCTGCATCACCTGCTTCTCGCTCTTCTTCTTCTGCAACACCGCCACGGTCTACAAGATCTGTGCCTGGATGCAGCTTCTGGCAGGTAAGGGAGGGGCGGGGGTGACGGGACCCCTGGAGCAGGGGCTGCGGAAGGGGCTCCCTGCTTCTGGGGCCCATTCTTGGGGGGAATCAGAGACTGACTCTGCTCCTCTGTCTGAAAACACACCTTTGGTTGTCCCTCAGCAGGAAGAGGAGCGTTCTCATGAGAGAGACGCCTTAGGAATCAGTCTTTGGGGCTGTGGGGTTGGACATGGGCAGGCTGTGTTGATGGATGGGTTAGAGTTATGGTTGAGAGTCTCTGAGGGTCTCGGAGACACTTGGTTGGCTGTTTTAGGGGAAATGATGACCAGAATGAGGAGCGACTCCAGGTGTGAATGATGTTTGTTGTATTGGAAAAAACAAACAAACTTGAGATGGTGACTCAAGAGAACTGACTTTGACCTTTCACTTCCTGACATCATCAACTTGGATCTTTCACTTTACTTCTCTGGGGTTCAGTTTTTCTCATCCATAAGACAGTGGAGAGGGTTCCAAGAACAAATGAAAGAGCGTCTCGTAAACTTTAAAGTTCTGTGCTAAGATATAGGAGGAGGCTGTCCATCGTGTCTATTCAGTGTTTGAAGAGTGAGCAGTTGGCAGCACCTGGACTAGTCTCCATTTCCCACTCTCACTCAATGCAGGGAGGAGGGTTCTGGTGCCATGCCCAAATGGGAATGAATTCCTAGGACCCTCTGAAATGTTTGGCTAAGACAGACATCTTACCCTAAGGATCAGAGAAGGGCCCTTGGGAATAAAAATTGCTGAGGCAGTTTTTCAGGATCCATTAGAGTCCCCCACGCCTGCCCGCCTTTCGATCGAAGACAGATTTTGAAGATTCAGCAGCTTGGGCATTTGCCTAATTGCAGGCAGAGAAGAGAGTTGGGCTAGGAAAAGTGGGGCCAGAAGATGGGGGAGGAGGGCTGATGACGGCTCGGAAAAAGTCTGGAGCCCTCCAGGGTGAGAGGGAGAAGGGGAAATACGATGATCATGCAACAGAGATAGTTTTTCAAAATAAGCATCCCAGAGCATTTAACAAGTGTTTTATTATTATTATTGATTGATTTGGGTGAGAAACATCAATTTATTCTTTCACGTATTTTATGCATTCATTGGTTATGTGTGCCCCAACTGAAGATCAAACCTGCAACCTTGGCATATCGGAATGACACTCTCACCAACGGAGCCACCCAGCCAGGGCCAGCATTCAACAAGTGTTGGCCCCTTCAAAGGAGTCCCCTGGAGGAAGTGCTTTCTCACTCGTCGATTTTTCCACTGCTGAAATCCTTGTAGGGAATTATCTTTGGTGCATGGGGTGTATTCTCTTGAAGGTCATCATTGAGGGGAAACTCCCCTCTTTAAAGGAGGAATATGATTTTTTTTGGAAATGGCTGGAAGTTACTCAGGGACAAGTGTAGAAAATAAGATGGGTGATCAAATTGACAGTTGTCACTTGGGGTGAAAGTCAAGGAGTGAGGGCGAGATCTTGAGGCTGGTTTGCTTTCCAAGGGGCTTTCTAGACATGCAGGCAGGGGGGACCGTGCTACTGGAAGAATTGCCCAAACGCCCAAAAGAACGACTTTGAACAAGTCAGTGCTTATTCAGATATGGACAAACTCTGGGCTTTTTCAGTCCATTCAACTTAGATTTTTTTTTTTTTTTTTAAGCAAGTGAGAAAGGAGAATTGTAGGACATGGGACCTGTCTCTCCATATATCTCAATGGTACCCAGAACCTGATTTTGGGTATTTAAATTCTATTCTTCTTCCAAAGGCAAGTTGGAAAGGATATAGGTTCAGTTGAAACCCCCAGTTCCTCAACCTTAATTTGGAGTTTGCAGATGGGTTGCTGACCTCTTGGCCTCTTAATTCCCTGTAATCCACATGCGTTTAATCTTGGGGACTGGGTGAACTGTTCCACAACCCCAGTGTAATTATAGAATTTCAGGGATCTTAGAGATCAGTTCCTTCAAATACCACCTTCCCCGCCCCCATTTATTTATTTTTTATTTTAAAACATATTTTTATTGATTTCAGAAAGGGAGAGAAAGAGAGAGTGAGTCCAATGATGAGAGGGAATCACTGATCAGCTGCCTCCTGCATGCCCCACACTGGAGATCGAACCTGAAGCCTGGGCATGTGCCTTCATCAGGAATCGAACTGTGACTTCCTGGTTCATATGTCTACACTCAACCACTGAGCCAGGCTGGCCGGGCCTCCTGCCTCCATTTTATTTTATTTTATTTTATTTTATTTTATTTTATTTTATTTTATTTTATTTTATTTTATTTTCAATTTTAAAGAACTCAGTTTATTAATTGACCAGATTACAAAAATAACTATGGTTATGATAACTAAGATACCTTAGTTCATCCTTCTAATAAGCCTGTTGATCTGGTCTTCCCTGTTCCCAGCATCTCCACCTTCTACGAAATGGGTGGTCATCTTCTTCATCCCACCCCGAGGAGAGGATAACCTGGAGGGCCACAGGAAGTTGTTCATTTCTTTGAAGTGCTTTCCAACAGTGTAGATCTCATGAATCATATCTTTCATGCAGATGATGCCATATTTATCAAGAGATCGAGCAATCAATGAGTTATCTGTCAGGGCAGTTAGTTTTTTGTTGATTTTGCCATAACCACGTTTGTAGATCAATTCATTCACCGACTTCAGATTTGGGTACCCCCAAGCAATGTAAGGCTCCACAATCCTCAGCATGTTGATGGAGGCCTTGTTGAGCTTAACAAAGGTGCCGTTGAAGATCTGGCGAAGGCGGAGAAGCTGCAGCACCTTTTGGACCTTTGGGCTCACACCACTGATACCTCTGATCCTGATGACAAATGCCAATTTGGGTTCGGCAGGTACGTAGAAGTTGCCAGCTTTTCTTGCCATCCTAGCCATCCGAATCTCTGTCCTGTACATCTGCCTGTACTCCTTGTGACAGTGCTTCGCTTTCTCATAGATGAGCTTCCTTCTTGCCTTTCCAAGCATCTTCTGGGCAAACTTCTTTCTCAGGCACTTGATCTTCAGCTCTGCGAAATTCCTTTGCTTTTTCTTGAGGGTTTCTGGCACAGCAGGAACCTTCTTCTTCTTCTTCTTCTTCTCTTCTGCACTCTCCATGGTTCCAGCCGGAAAAGAGTCTGCCCCCATTTTAGAGAGAAGAGACTGAGCCTAGAGAAATTATGGTCTTTCCCAAAGTCACTCAGCCAGTAAGTGAGTAAATTAGTCTCAACTCCTAGCCCAGTGCTCTTTCCCTTGTGTTACTGTCCCACACCTGAGGGCTGTTATCAGAGTTGAGCGGTTGATTCCATTTTGCTTAGATTTCTGAGTTGATTCTTTACCCGCTTTGTGATCATCCTTATGCTATGAGTTGTGATACTGAGATCATCCCTGTCTCCAAGGGTTTGAGAGCATTTTATAAGGCTATAAAATGCAATTCCTTCTCTTAAGCTTACCATCTAGTTAGATCACTACATTGGTCAGTGGTCTTTCACTAGCAAGTGACAGAAACCCAACTCAAACTGGCTTAAATAAATAAAAATAAAATAAAGAGAGTATCCTTGAACAGTGTGGCTCAGTTGTTTGGAGCATCATCCTGTGTACCAGAAGGTTGAAAGCTCGACACATGCCTAGGTTGGAGACTCAAGCTCTCGCTTAGATGTTTCTTTCCTTCCCTTCCTTCCTCTCTAAAAATAAAATAAAATATTAAAAAATATTAAGTAATAAAGAGGGTAGTGTTTTTGACTCATGTAACTTAAAAGTCAAAAGTATCTGGCTTCAGTCGAAACCGGTTTGGCTAGGTGGAGAGAGCGTCGGCCTACGGACTGGAAGGTCCCGGGTTCGATTCCGGGCAAGGGCATGTACCTTGGTTGCGGGTACATCCCCGGTAGGGGGTGTGCAAGAGGCAGCTGATCGATGATTCTCTCTCATCGATGTTTCTAACTCTCTATCCCTCTCTCTTCCCCTCTGTAAAATATTAATAAAATATTTATTAAAAAAAAGAGTATCTGGCTTCAGTCATGGATGGATCAAATAATGCCATTATAAAAACAAAAAACAAAAGAAAAAACAAACACAAATAATGCCATTATAATATGTCTCTCTCCATTTCTTTGTTCCTCTGTGTTGGCTTATTTTTAAGCTTACTTCTCTCTTTTTTAAAAAAATATATATATTTTTATTGATTTCAGAGAGGAATGGAGAGGGAGAGAGATAGAAACATCAATGGTGAGTATCTCTGATTGGCTGCCTCCTGCACACCCCTTACTGGGGATTGAGTTCACAACCCAGGCATGCACCCTAGACCAGAATTGAATCTGGGACCCTTCATTCCACGGAGGCATACAAGCCAGGGGAAGTCTGCTTCTCTTTTGAAGCTTAGCAATGCTGAAAAAAAGAACACCTGTTACTCAGCTTTGGCCAGATGTCCACCTCTTAATCTCTGGAACACGTGGACTGATAGTAGAGGAAGATCAATTCCTGCAAAGGGAAGTCAAATGTGACCACTGGAAGAGGGATACTCTAGGTAAGGCAAGTGCAGACAAAGTGGAAACTCAGGGCAACAGAGGAGGCTATGGGCTTCCTTGGAAGGTGAGACTCAAGCAGGACAGGTGTGAGGTGTGAGGTGTGAGGTGAGGGAGAGCATTCTTAGTGGAGAGGAAGAGCATGGACAGAGGCACAGAGGTAAGAAAGCCGCATCTGGATGGAGCGTGACATTCACGTAGGGGATAGCAGGAGGGAGGAGAGGCCGGGAAGGAGCAATAGGGCTACAATGTGCAAGGTTCTCAATACTGCATCAAAGAGTGTGGACTCTACTCAGTAGGCAGCTCGAAGTTGCTATTACTGTTATTATTCTTCAGGAAAAATAGTTAATGTCTTCTGAGCCTTTACTAAATGCTTGACCATTTGCTAAACATTTACATGCATACTATTTTCTAATCCTCACAGCAATCCTATGGACTAGGTGCCATTATTAATATCTTTTTAAAGATATCTTTTTATTTATCTCA